CTGAATGCCAGTTCGAGTTGTCCTGTACGCCAGGCTGCTACGATGTACGGGACAAGAGTTCTTTTTGTGGATGCCGAAGTGACCAAAAAAGATTTACCCACGCAGATGTGATGGGCTTCGTGGGTATACCAAGTAGCCTGTCACGTACAGAGTAGGCCGTGAAACGACCCCAAACAGGTAATATACTACCGACAGAGTAATTAAAAGTTGCGACAATCTTATTTCGCTCAACTGATGCTACATCTGGGGTTGGCACAGGGCTTCGCACAAATTTTTGTTTTTTAATTGTTGTTTTAGTAGTTTGTAGTGTGTTTTCCGTATCATTGAATGTATCAAGATATCCCTCTTTTCAGCTGACTTTTGTTTCTGATTATGTTCTATGATTGGTTCATTGTGTTTTTGACAGTTTTTGAAGGTATTATTTTGTGTTGGATTTCTTGTTTGACTGATTTTACAGCCACACACCCTATGCAATGCCACTTGGGCCCTTAGGGCTTCCGAGATAAATAAAATAAAATAGAGAAATAAATAAAATAAAACCAGAGTGATAGGGCGACATAACCTTTCGATGATTTCACTCCATCAGAGGTTGTGTTCAGGCTCGTGTTTTTGTCTTCTGCCGCCTTCACGAACACCCATGTTTTTGAGCTGCTGATAACCAAGGTCTTCATTCTCGAGGGTGAATGCCCAAATTTGTCTTTGACCCCAGAAATCTTAAGATGTAGCGCAGGGCCTGTTATGACCACTCTTCTTTCTACATTCTTTGGCATTTGCAGGCCACACCAGCAGACTTGCTGGTGTGGACTGCGAATCTTGCCTTCGCATGAAGAACATTAGCTTAAAAAGAATTTGCTATACTGCTTATAAAAGTGATTGTTTAAATGTCACCATAGCTGGAGTCCAATGCTAAAGTTCTAACAAAACCAGCTGCGCTGGCACTGGAGCCTAAAGAAACTTGTATGGCCGGATTCGTTGAAGCCCTTTCAAAAACGGTCAGCTGTTTTAAATACACTAAATATTCAAGAAACCACGGATAAATTTCGTAACTTGGCTAATCATATTACCAGCTTTATCATATTGGCAATTTCAGTGATGTATCAATGATGCAGTATTGAGTATCTGTCTGAATTCAATTTTGGCTCTGTATCTTGTATAGGAAATACAATTTTTGAGGGTACTGGGTATCGGTATCAAAGGCACTTTTTTAAAGTACTGTGCCCAGCTCTGGTACAGCGCTGTGATGTTTTCTTTCTATCCGTTTGCCTTTTCTGCTGGTTTTTGTTAACTTAGAAGCTCTTAATCCCTAAGCACTTTTCTCGGGGAACTCTAGGGAGATAGGACGTGCCACTTAAAATATCCAATATCTTGAATCCTTTCAGTAATTATTCATAACACAGAAATAAAATAAAACCTCCCCGTTTTTTTTTTTGCTAGTAGGAAGGATAGTTTTAGTGGGCTGCATCTTAAAGAGCTCAGATTACACCAATCGTTTCTTAAAGAGCACACAGACACATACAATGTACTAAATATTAAAGACAAAGGAAAAATGAGTCAATAATTACCGGTTCCATGTCGGTGAGGTGAAGTGCCGAGGACTGTGGAGCTTCCCGTGTCCGCAACCTTAGAACTGGAAAGCCGCGAAACTCGGATCCAGAAACCGAAATTCCGAACAACAAAAAGGGGGGGAAAAAAAATGAAAGCCCTGTAACGCCGAATTAGAGCGCAGCTCTTGAGGAGGAGGAGGGGAAGGTACGGAGAGGAGGTTATGCCCCTCCTCCTCTCCTGCTCGCCTCCCATTTAGGGAAATTTTTCTGCTAGATCTAGCGGGGAAATTTTTCTGCTAGATCTATACTCTGTTTCACCTTATGATGTACCGCAGGAAAGGGGTACAAGCGCGAGCTCCTTGCTCTGGGGCACATCTCGGCGGCACAAGCTCTCGTGACTTAAGAGCACCTGCCAACGCTATGAGCTCGTGCTTCTAGCCTTCGCTGCGGTACAACATAAGGTGAAACGAAGTATAGCGGGGAACTTTTTCCGCTAGATCTAGCGGGGAAATTGCTCGGCTAGATTTAACGGGGAAATCTTTTCCGCTAGATTTAGCAGGAAAATTTTTCCGCTAAATTTAGAGGGGAAATTTTTTCCGCTAGATTTAGAGGGGAAATTTTTTCCGCTAGATTTAGCGGGGAAATTTTTCCACTACATTTCGTGGGGTAATTTTTTCCATTAGATTTAGCGGGGAAATTTGTCCGCTAAACTTAGCAGGGAAATTTTTCCACTAGATTTAGCGGGGAAACGTTTTCAGCTAGATTTAGCGGGGAAACTTTTCCGCTAAATTTAGCGGGGAAATTTACCTATAACGCACCGCGCGGTTACGACAACGCCATTCAAGCCGGAAACGGGCGCTTAAGAGCTGCGCTCTAAAAGAAAACTAGCAGGCTTGCAGGACGTTTGGCAACGAAACGCGAGAGGCCTCTTCCTGTTGTCAATTTGAGGAGCATGTGTTATGCCAGGGCTGTTAACACCGAAAGTCAAGATTTCCCTAGCAGATGCCTGAAATTTCCCCATTTCTGCCCTAATTTCTCTCGCTTGCCCAGCTAATTATATAATACTAAATATTAGTTGTTTTCTGCATCACTTCCATTTTTACTATAAAAAATATATTATATCCGGAGGCCAAGTTCGTCTGCTTCTTGCACAAGGGTCTGCTTCTTGCACGAGCTATTATTGGCAGATTGACAAAAATAGTGGATAGACCTCAAGGCATCTAGCCAGGTACGTAGACAGGGGGGGGCCCATGGGGCCCGCCCAGTATGATCATGCAGACCTGAGCCTTGCGACTTGTGGAGTCCTACCTCTGCCAGACTGGCTAAGTGGCGGAGGTCACAATCTAATTACAAGTTTTCAGCCATAATTATTCACCTATCGTTACCCAAGACAAATCAGGGGTTTGCATGCCGACCGGGCAAGGATCTGTCACTCCCCAGCGAGATACTGAAGATTCACCTCCTGCTCTTCGATGTGCAACTGGTACCTTAATTCCACAACATAATTTCTACAAGAAGCCTTCGGCATATTACTGTCACCTTGGTACGATCCATACACTCTAACTGAGTCCATAAGCCAGCACTAGCTTGGGGGTCAGCACTGGCCGAGAGCACTATGTGCCTTGTCGATCAGAGTGACCAAAAACCCAGTTCTTGGGTTGGCTCCTCACCCTGACAATACTGCTATCTCAGCACTAGTATGTGCACTCCCATCTATACTATGCATCATTAAGCTGACAGTGTGGTGCGAGCTGCATGCTTGAATGACCAATAAACATATATTTTTTATGAATTTTTTTTTTTGTATACATATAAACTTAAACTCACTCTATTTCTCTCCATTTGGAGAGAAATAAAGATAATGTTTTTCATCACCTAACCTTGCTTCCTACGCGTGGGTATGGGTGGGAGCACGATCACGTGGCAAAGGTCAGACATAAGACTAGTTCAACTGGCATGTAGCTTCCGCTGCACTCTCATTTCGTGCTGCTTCAGAGGAGGGTCCTATACCAGTTTAAGTTCAGTTTACATAAAGGATAAGACTGAAGCTCATAAACATCACTTAAGGGGTCTCTTGAAGGAGAAGGCAGGCACACTGTACTCCTCGAAGATTAACAGTCATAGCCTCGTGCCACTAGAATGACAAACACAGATTTTTGTCCGGCGGCACCACAAAGTTCCGTGTCAATAATGTTCTCCCACTGTGATGCGCCGGCAAACGATCGGCGACAGACAAGTTCTTGTCTGTCGCTGGACTTGCGCAGCAAGCAGACCCATCAAAGAACATCTCTCGGAGACAAACATATCCTCCTCGCCCACTTGTGCCCTCTGCTGCCTCTCTTTCCACCCTTCTACCCTTCCTCCAGTGGCTCGCTCCGCTGATCGACCTTCAAAAAAGTCCTTGGCAGCCACTGACCGTTCCCGCCCCTGAATTGCTCGTAGTGGTTGTGTTGCAAAAGAGAATTTGCTGTGGCTGGTTTTGCTCACAAAATCCTGGTGCGCGAGGGGGTGCTTCAAGACGCCGAGGCCTATGCCCCTGTATCAGGATGGATACACCGATGTTCAAGGACTGACCAAAGTAAGACCGCTTACCACGAAGTATGACACAACGTTCCGGCAAGCCATTCTGGCAGACAAGAGACTTGTCATCACGTTTTGTGATAATCGGGATGCAGTATTGTCCCCAGAAAAAAACGCCTGCCCTCAATCATTTGGATATAAAGTTATAAACATCCTCGAAATCGACATACAATTTCGTGGCGCTCACCTAGAATGCCTTGAACAAACGACCCCCCCCCCCCCCCCCCCAAAAAAAAAAAGAAGATTAGGGAATTCTAGTTAAAAAAAAATTTGATGTGATTGTCATGACTGTTTTCAGAGAGTCGCCAATGGCAAGTGAAGACAAGCAAAAGCTTTAATCAAGAAATACATTGTCACCAATTCAATAATGTTTGTCGGCGCGTTTTACTTCCACAGAGCAAAACACGAAAACCGCGTCCCGAGACTCAGTCAGTGTATTTTGAAGTGGTTTGCTGACAACTGCTGTCCCACTGGGGAACAAGTTTCCTTGTCCTCGTGTTCTGCGCCGTGTCCGCCAGGTGGGACGGCGGACCTAGAGAAACAGGGTGTCTGTCGGTGTCGCTTGTCACTCATTGTCGTGCGTCGCTGTCGTTTGTCGCTCATTGTCGTGTGTCGCTGTCGTTTGTTGCTGTTTGTCGCTCTAGTGGGACGCAGCTATATGGTGGTGGAGGTGAGAAGCGCTTGCACGCTTGTGTAGCTCTATCTACACTAGTTGCAAAAGCAGATAGCATCGCAACCCCCCCCCTCTCTTCCTAAAAAAAATACGACTTTTCGGCGTAGACATTTTGTGCACGGATTTCGTGCGACAACGAACTTCATCGACCGTGTGTAGCGTTCGAGACCATAGAAAGGAACCAAAAAAAGGTGATTACTCACTCTTCGATAAGTGCGCTTGATGTCTTCTGGCGTCGAGGTCTTTGGAAGTCCCAACGTTTCATACAACGAATCCCCGGAAGTGCTGTAGGGAGAAACAATAAAAAAAAAGGAAGAAAAATACCATTTTTTTTTTTTACTCCATGCCACAGAACAAGAGCCGTTTTGGAAATAAACGTCAATAAACTCCAGTGGGAAAGATTCTAATGGAAAGAAGGAAAATACAGAGATAAAAACGTGAGTGTTTTGTTTCAGACGGGGGCGATAAGATAGCCCCTCGAACCGAACCCTGGGTTTCAGAAACAAGAATTGAACTACAACTATGACTGTTCTGGGAAATACAGCATCTTGCTAGACTCTTAGCGCCTATCAGTAGATTTATATTATTTTCATAATTCGTTAAATGCGTTGCGGATACATGTTCAAAGCACCAACTTTAGTTGCGACAAGAGACCGCAATGTCGAGGTACCGCCTCTTTGCTGCCGTATCTCAGCTTTTCGGGAAGACGGGCTATTCTGTGACCAAAAAAGTACTGCAGTCTAGGATTTCAGTCGACGAGTAAGAAACACATAATCCCGACAAGCCAGTGTAGCCCAGATGGGCGGAGTTCATGAGTTGCGTCAAATGACACGGAGTTTAGCGGTTAGGCTTATAATCAGGGCGAATGCAACACAAGAGTTGATACGTACGACAGCTTCCTGCTCGGATAATCCATTGCGGAGGCGGTTGAAACGTGAAAACGGGGAAACTACTACGACCTAGCCACACCGTGGCGAAAGAAAGTTATCCTAAAACTGTCGGATTGCTGGGCATTTCAGCATCGGCTCCGAGACACATATGACGGAGACTCGACACTGGTGTAGCCGCGCTGTAGCACTCGGTAGCAGATATAGTGCAGCGGTTCGGTACTCCTCGATGAAATGTGTCGACCCGAGATTAGTGAGATTAGTGGCTCCTCTCCCTTTGGCCGCGACAATTGCGGGCACGGGCACGGTGGTGATAATAAGTAGCGCTGCAGTCGACAGCGATTAATGTCGACATTTTGTCGATCTAGACAACACTATTCTCGAACACGCTGTTTAATTTTGGTATCGACAAAACTGTAGAGCTTTCTTCGAATATTCACTCGTGAACATTAAAATCAAGCTATGAATTACAGCCACTGATCTCTATGATCGCGCATCCCCGCTTGGTAGCTGCAGCGCGAGTGAGGCCACCAAACGGCCATCTTGCATGCCAAAAAACGTGTCCCTGGAGCGTTGCCGGAGGCTAGCGGCAGCGTGCTGAAGACACGTTTTCTACTGGTTCGTTGTCATTCGCCAAAGAAGTTCTTTAAAATCCTGTGTAAGCCGTGATACTTGCCGTTGAGAACACGTGAAAATTTTTTATGGAAGCGCAGTGCCACAGCAAAAAGGCACATCTCGTCGAAAGCAAGTTTCGCAGGTCTCGAGGCGTGATCAAAGCTTCCTTGGCACGCCGAGGCGCTGCGTGTCTGTGGCTTCGCACGCTTGGAGAGCGATCAAGAATCGACACCGTGTATATGTATTTTACGAGTGCAATGTGTGTGAAGCCGTATGCGCCTCTGGAGCAGCGTATCGACAATGAAGACGATTTTATTTAATTTTTTTAAATGGTGTTTTAATGCTTCTTGGGAACATAGCATGCCGCCCAATTTTTTGTAGACATTTATGACGCGTATTTATGTGCCTACGAAAGAAGTAAAGAACAAGAAACTGAACCATCTCCAGTCTCGTTTCTGGGCCTCCGAAAACGGAGGTGACGTAGGGAGTGACGTCAAGTGTGAATAGTCGGTATCGATAGTATTTAGGAGATCGAGACTCTGGTTACCGCGGTGGGTTATAGCAGCGCGGTGGCGCGGTCGTTGCGCCGACTCTGTCAACATGGACGAATGCCGCTCTCGCGAGCGAGTTCGAGCTTCCGTTCAGTGACTGAACACCAACGGAACGGGAGTATGTGTGTGGCGGCCTCTGCCATCACCCGACGGAGACCGCCCAGCCGGCAACGAGCGGCCCGCATGCCGAAAGACGGACAGGGGGAGATGCCGAAGGGAAAGCGGCAGCGATCCCGCCGTTCCGGGATCCGGTTCCTCCACGGACGTCCTCTTTTCGTCGTCAAAGAACACGAACAGCAACCCACACGTGAAAACTAGCGTCGCCCGAACGAATACTGGTCTTCAGTCGACCGTTAGAACAGCCATCTACAGCTACCATTTTGCAAAATCTTTCCAGTACAGTGTTCTTTTTTAATTTTATTTTGTTGGCCCATAGTTGCTCGTTGCCGGTTTCGCGTCCAGCGTAGCAAAGAAAAAAACAATGATGCTGCTTTATTTACGGTTTAGTAATCATTTCCGATCCGATTTATACTTTTGATGGTTATTCAAGCGGAAATTAGAACAGTATTTCTAAAAATAGCGAACCAAAACGTGACCGAGGGCACGTTTTTCGTTTCGACCAATCGCTGACGCGTCTCTTGTGACGTCGCACTCCTTGGCCCCGCATAGGTCACGTGAGCTCCGCTTCTCCTGGCTTCTCCCGCAACTCTTGGGGCGTCGCCCCAGTCGATCCCAGTACGATTATTACCGCAACTGTTTAATTGATTTGCGCGGCACAGAAGCGCCGGTTTCGGCTGAAATTTGGGCAACGTGGCCTGAGACGTGCCTGGAACCCAGTTCAATCGCCAAAAAGATCTCCGAAATTGCCTTCATTGTCCCTTTAAAGAGGTACTCCACAGGTTTTTTCATTGTCTCCGATTTGCTTGAAATTTTGCTAAACTAACCAACAAACATCGCCAAAATACAGGGTGTCACAAATGAAAATTTACACGGTCTTTTTTACCGCAAAAATAAACTAGGCATCGCCGAACGCTCATTCTCCGCCCAAAGGTAGAGCTAGAGGTCACAACCAGATGCCAAAGTTTCAGCCCGATCCGATTACTTAATCAAAAGTTATAACTGATTTTCTGAAAATTTCAATGGGAAAATGGAGCCCATTTTTGCTCATTTTCGGTTTCTGGTGCCATAGAGCCCCATGTGTTCGAAAACTCCGTCGGCCACAATTTTCCCATTGAAATTTTCAGAAAATCATTTATAACTTTTGATTAACTTATCGGATCGGGCTGAAACTTTGGCATCTGGTTGTGACCTCTAGCTCTACCTTTGGGCGGAGAATGAGCGTTCGGCGATGCCTAGTTTATTTTTGCGGTAAAAAAGACCGTGTAAATTTTCTTTTGTGACACCCTGTAGCATCCCAAATATTAGGTCAAAATATTGTTTTTTCGCGAAGTTATTGAATTTACAGTTTTGGTCGTCACCGTGTTTTTCAAGCTCGAAGTCTCTACTGGCAACAATAAAAAAGTGACGTCAGTGGAAGGCAGGGGTTCACTCTTTGGGCTGTAGATTTTGTTTTAAACTGATTCGAAGCAGTTTCATGGTGTCAAATGAATGCCTGGGAAGCTCGCTGCAGTACCCGCGCTCCAGCACGGAACAAATGATTGGCATATTCTATTTTTTGGCTGCTTGCTCGACTGGCAAGCCTGCCTGCCACTGACGTCACGGCACTGAAAAGTGCGCGTATATTTGAATGTTGGTTTTTGCATCATTTTCATTTTCCGATTTCAAAATACCTATTATGAATTTCGCGATTCTAAATAGCATACCGGAGAGAGTAAAGGCCGGGGAGTCAGAAAATATAGTTAGTTGAGGTAGCTCAAAAAATCGGTGGATGATCCCCGATTTGCTTGAAATTTTGCTAAACTCGCCAAAGAACATCGCCAAAATAGTATCCCAAATATTGGGTCAAAATAATTTTTTTTCACGAAGTTATTGATTTTACAATTTTGGACCTCACCGTGTTTTTCAAACTGAAAGTCTCTATGGCAACAGCGAAAAAGTGACGTCAGTGGAAGTGTAGGGGTTCACTCTTTGGACTGTAGAATTTGTTCCCAACTGATTCAAAGCAGTTTCATGGTGTCAAATGAATGCTTTGGAAGCTCGCTCCAGGACCCGCGCTTCAGCACGGAACAAATGATTGGCATATTCTATTTTTTAGACTCCTCGCCCGACTGGCAAGCTGACCTTCCACTGACGTCACGGCCCTGAGAAGGGCGGGTATATTTGAATGTTGGTTTTTGCACCATTTTCATTTGTCGATTTCGCAATAACTATTATGAATTTCACGATACTAAATAGCATACCAGAAAGGGTAAAGGCCGGGGAGTCAGAAAATATAGTTAGTTGAGGTAGCTCAGAAATCGGCGGAGTACCCTTTTAACTTAACTCTGACGACTGTATTTGTATCTTGCGGCACTCGCGGTCCAGAAACGAGCTTGATCCAGCGTCCAGTAGCGACGGAAGGGGGGGAGGGGGGGTACGTCTTTGTTTTTTTGGTCGTTGGACGGTTTACAGAATACCGCGCACAACAGCTCCTCATCACTGATCAGTGCTGGCTCATTATCAACCTAATGCGTGTCCCAAATAGCGACCAGGCTCTTTAAATCGACCGCAAAAATCGGTTTCTTAAAGGGGCCCTGCAAGGACTTTTTACTGTCTTTTTAATTTGCACCGAACCTGAGCGCAGTGAACGAAGCCGGTCAGATCCTGCTGTCCATACGACTGCAGCGCCACCGCGTACATCCGGGATTTTTCCGAGTCGGCGCCTTATCCCACTACTCCTTTCTAGTATGCGCCGCCTTTTCCACCGCTTGGCGGCGGGTATGTTGACGGGTCATTTCTTGTTTCCGTACTTTATAAACTGCATTTCTTTCTCTTTTTCATCTATAATAGTGAACAAAAACTACTTTTATAAATAATTGAAACGGTTCGCGCCACTTATATTTTGTATTTCGACCAAAAAGAAGTTTTTAGTGGCTCTGACCAGTAGTAAGCCCAGGACCAAAGACGTCACATTTTGCGCGCTTTCGGTACCGCGGGTCGCCCTCGTCGGAGGAGGAGGTTTCCATGTTGTCCGGTTAAAATATGGCGCACTGATATTTAGCTACTCTTTCCGTGCCCGCTGGCTTGCCCGAACCCCAAGAGACGTGAAAACTGCATAAAAGGTAGACGCTTAAATATGATTGCAGGGCCCCTTTAAAGGGGCCCTGCAATCATACAACAATCATACAACAATCATACAACAATCATACAATCATACAAGCAATCACTACAACAAAATTTCGGCGCTCATTTTTTTGTGTATATGTGTTCAAAGGACACATCTAACATACCAATATCTTGTTAAAAAAAAAACACGAAAAGGAATTTTAATGCCCATCAACCTTGAGAGGTAGTGACGGTTACTGTCTCGCCTCCGGCCACGGCGAGAGAAGAGCGGAAGGGGGAACTCCCCTCTTCCCGAGAATTCCTTTTGTGCGTCCCAGACGTCGCTATTGTCCCTCTACAAGATTATAGAAGATTACCCGTCACTCAAAATTCTTACAGAAGCAGCCGCTTCCTGCGTCCTCTCAACGTCAGCCTCGCGGTAGCTTCGCTCGTCCCGAGACGATCTACGTCACGATTGCGTCGGATGTCACGTGCTCTAAGCTGGGCCTTCTTTGAGCGCTTGCCCCCAGAATGGGTCGTTTATAACAAAAAATAGAGCCACCAGGCTCAAAATACAAACGTGCGATTGTCATTTACGGATTTTGTGGATCATATTCAACCTATTTTTGAACACGACGGATATATTTCAAATTTCGTTGTAGTATCCCTTTAAAACTGCTTACAACGACAGGACACACTGGCGCAATCTATTGGGTAGCGGTGTAAACTTGGCGGCCCGGCATATTTTCCATTTGACTCGCGCATTATCCTTTCTTTCTTGGCCTGAAAAACTTTTGACAACGTTGTAAACGAGCCTTTCTTATAGGTATTACGCACATTTTACCTCGGAAATAACGCGAAACCTTCGCTCTTGTGAAATGCAGTTCCAGGGTC